GGGAGACCAGGGCAGTCTGGGCCTGGGCCTCCTACCTCAGGCTCGATTGCTGCTGGGCAGCTTGAGATCTGGACAGCGTTCCCCTAGAAAATACAATAGGTCAAAAAATTCTCCCAGATAAAATGTAATCACACCCTCTATTTTGCTATAGCAAAAAAAACAAAAACAAAAACAAAAACTTCATGAGAAAAACTCAGTAGGCTGTGAGAAAATTACAGGGAAAAGGAGTTGACTCTGAACAGTAGGGAGAAATGTAGAACAATTGCCCAATGGGATAGGCAATGTGGCAGGAAAGAGGGGAGGCTCACCTTGAGCCCAGACTAAATAAATGTCAGCTACTGACCCAGGGTCAGGGAACACAGAACTAGCATAGAGAAGGCATTAAAATATTGAGTTAATTAATGTATATGCAAAAGCTATTTCATATTTATACTCACCTGATTATCCCTATTTTACAGTAAGTAAACTTTTACAGGCTCAAAGAGATTAAGAAACTTATCAGGGTCACACAGCTGCTTTACAAGAAAATGGAGATTCAGACTCAGTTCCTCTGGCATCAAGGCTCTTCTCACTTCACTCTTTTCTACACTTGGTAGGTGGGAACCTGGGAAGAGGGTCATATTGGCATAGCTGTGATGATGGAGCGCTGGAGGCAGGAGAGAGTGCCAAATCTGGGGGACATGGATGCATTGGCCACTTTGGAGATGCACTCTTATGTCAGAGAGTCATTAGCCCTTAACCTAGTCCAAAATAATCACACTCCAGAGTCACACTAACACTTGATACAAAGACAACGTCAAATTTCTGGAAACACAAAACCAAGGATTAGCTGTAATATGCAGTGACCCAACCAAGGCAATACCTGGGAACCTGCTTCAGCTAGCCAGCCAGTCAGTCTCGCAATCCAATATCCCTCTTATTCCATTAAGCACTTAGCATAGGGCACACTCAATAAATGTGTTTGGAACTATCCAGACACTTAACTTCTGTAGCACACTCAAGTATTTGATTTAAAGTGCTTATTTCTCTACTCACTGGTGGTGTCATAAGACTCCCTGAGGCACTTGTGTTTTGTGGGTTTTTTTTTTTTATTTTAAATTTTATTTTAGAGAGAGAGCGCATGTGAGTGAGGGAGATGGCGGGGGAGAGAGAGAGAGAGAGAGAGAGAGAGAGAGAGGCTTTTAAGCAGGCTTCACACTGAGCGTGACCTGAGCCAAAATCAAAAGTCAAAAGACAAGAATCAAAAAAATCAAAAAACACTAAACTGACCCAGCCACCCAGGCACCCCAGGCGCTTGCTAAATTTCAGATTCCTTATCTTCTACAGATTCTGATTCAGTAGGTTCTGGGATGGGCCCCAGGAATTTGTATTTCATCAAGCTTCTCAGCTGAGTCTGTGATCAGGCAAGTTTGGGAAAATGCTATTTATGCCAATGCTTCTGTCATCAGAGCTGCTCCTGTTCTTGTGAAACACTATAGGCCAAGGTTGGCGTGAAGACATCAGGTGGATTGCAGGGGAGGGGTGTGGAGAGTGGCTCTTATGGATATAGCTGCTGAGGAAACAGGAAAATTAGGGCCACAGTGTGGGTACTCTCTATCACCCCATGTACCCTACCTACCAGTAAAAAAGGTTTTGAGCAAACACTTGAAGCTGTGTATGCTTTCAGTTTATAAGTTATATGTATTATAAAGCATGCAAACATTGCAAGGAGATGGAAAATAAATGTGAATAGAAGTTATGTTTTTAAACATATACTGCAATAGATCACCGTATGTCAAACGTGTGTCTTCAAGATGAAATCAGATCCCACATTTTCTTGGAGAAACATTTTTCATGTTTATCCTTCCTTCCTCTTTCAGAATAGACACTTCAAGAAAAAAGAAGGCCCTCCTCTTTAATCAGACAGCTATTGTGAGCCTGGGGCCAAGTTTTTTGTTTTGTTCTATTTCTGTTGGATTATCTCTGCATAAATGCCTCATTTCTCCACTTTGCTTTGGTTCTGATCCCCAAATGCACATGTGAAACATCGTGAGTATTTTAAAATTTATGCCTGGGCCCCACCCCAGAACAAAGAGATCAGAATCTCTGAGCATGGGGTCCAGTCTGCCAAAGTTTTAGAAAACTCCCCAAGTGATTCAAACGTTCGACCAAGGGTGAGAGCCACTGCTTTAGATCCTTGGCGATCCCAGTGTGCTTGAGGAGTGGCATCAGCACCCCCTGAGGCAGTATTACACATGCCAACCCTCACTCCCACTCCAGGCCCACAGAAACAGAACCTGTATTGTAACGAGATTCCCAGTGAGGCTGCATGCACATTACAGTTGGAGAAGCATTGCTTTGGAATAGTTGATGGTTTTCAACCCTGGCTGCATGGAGGAGTTGATGAAGAATCTTTTAAATGCGCAGCTCTGGGGCGCCTCGGGGACTCGGTGAGTCAGGTGTCCAACTCTTGATTTTGGTTCGGGTTATGATCTCACCGTTCGTGAGTTCCACCCCCATGTTGGGGTTTGTGCTGGTATCGCTGAGCCGGCTTAGGATTCTCTCTCCCTCTCTCTCTGCCCCTCCCCTGCTCATGCTTTCTCTCTCTCTCTCTCTCTCTCTCTCAAAATAAATAAATATTGAAAAAAAAATTTTTTAATGTGTAGCTCCTACCCCAGAGATTTTGATTTACCTGGGATGGGGCCTGAGCACTGGTAAGTTTCAAAAACCCTCCAGAAAATTCTCAAACAGCTAGGGTTGAGAACTACTGTCTTATATAAATGGAATATTGCAATCCCTCATTTTATTTTTTCTCTAACTGCCTTAACCCTCCTTCTCATGTAGACTCAAAGGCCTTCATCTGCCAACGGGTTACACCTACCAGGCTGCAATAATATAATAAACATTGAGAAGCCAGGACTTACCATTAGATAAACCGCCTGGAGTGTTCTTATTAGGTATGACACAGCACTGAGCATTGCATAAAGTCACAAAGTTGGCCAAAACCCTGAGGCTGCCCAGAAGAACGTTATGTAATGTAAAGCAGAGGTGGGAAGGAGAACCAATGAATTCAGATGGTAATCACTGAGTAAAGTGTCCTGTACCAGGATCCCAGCTGGACTGTGGCAGGTGGTTTAAAGGTGGAGCTCAGGCAATCTGGCAAAGGAATAATACTCAGGATTACCCTCAGGTAGTCTAGCATAGGAATAAGACCTAAACATATTACTTAAAATAAACTGGAGAAAGAGCTAAAATGTGAGCCCCAAGTCATAGAAAAATGAGAGTGTGCTATTTTATTACAGAGAAGGTTCAAGAAACCCTTGTGGATTAGTGATTTTTAGCTGCTTTTTTCAGAGTATGTATAATTGAAAGTATAGAAATGAGGCAGTAAAGGGACTTTCAAGAAGATGATAAAACACTGACAAAGATACAGAGACAAAGAAAACGCAGTAGGAGACCTGATGGCGCTAACTGAGTTAGCCAAAGTTCTTAGACCATGAGGCTAAGAACCTCATTTCCAGAAAAAAAATTTTTTTTTAATTTTTATTTATTTTTGAGAGCAAGAGACAGAGTGTGAGTGGGGGCGGGGCAGAGAGAGAGGGAGACACAGAATCCAAAGCAGGGTCCAGGCTCCTAGCTGTCAGCACAGAGCCTGACACGGGGCTCAAACGCATGAACCATGAGATCATGACCTGAGCTGAAGTCAGATGCTTAACTGACTGAGCCACCTAGGCGGCCCTCATTTCCAGAAAATTAAGGCATCTTGAGGGCTGCAGGAATGTATCAGTCCATCTAGGCTGATACTCTATCTGTGAGACAAAGAAAAGTATCAAGTTGCTTTTCTCAACATTTTGAGATGGGCAAGCTAGAGAAGTGAATTTTAACATGAGAATTTCAGGAACCTTTTTAAAAGTAAGATGGGCCTGAGGGTCTTTGTTCTGTAAAATGTATAAAATTAATTATGAACTGATGCTTCTTAAAGTAGTGCTACTGATACAAGAATAGAAAGACATAGGGAACAAAAATAGAAAACCCAGAAAATGTATTTATAAATATATGTTAAAGTTTAACTAAAATAAGCTTAGCCTTTGAAATCTGTACAGAATGATTATTCAATAAATGGTATTTGATAGAAGAAGTGGTAGACTATTTGGGAAGAAACAAAACTAATTTCCTACTTTATTTCCCACAATGAAATATATTCTAAAAGGATTCAAAGGCTAACTTTTCACAATAAGATCATGAATGAACCCAGGAAATACAGATATTTATCTTATTCTAAGGAGAAAAGAAAAATAAATAGGTTTGAATATGTAAAAGTTGTGAGTCCATAAACAAAATTGGAAAGCAATGAATGACCAAATTTGGAGAACAATTTTGTTATATGAAGACTTTCTGTATATCAGTGGGAAAAAAGAAAAACATCCTAGCAGAAAGATGGCAAAGGAAATAAAGCGGCAATTCACACACACACATGGACCCAAACAGAAATGATGACCAAAAACATGAAAAAGTTCAACTTACAGATAACACAAGAAATGTAAACACATTGATAAAATTGAACCATATGGGGTGTCTGTCCAATTGGATGGGGCCCCAAATGTGGGTCCATGATGGATCCGGTGAAACTGGTGAAAGAATTCGTCTGAGGCAGAACAAAGGAGATAGGAATTTATTGAATACACCACAAGGGCGCTGCAGGCAGGACAGCCGAGGAGAGGCTGCCTGCAAGGAGGCAGTGGGAAGGGGCAGCTTTTAAAGAGGGAAGATGAAGGGTACTTGGGTGGCTCACTTGGTTAAGTGCCTGACTTTGACTCAGGTCATGATCTCGTGGTTCATGGGGCTCTGTGCTGACAAGTCAGAGCCTGGAGCCTGCTTCAGATTCTGTGCTTCCACCTCTCTCTGCCTCTACCCCCTCCCCCTCTCAAAAGTAAATAAACATTAACAAATTTTTTTAAAGAGGGAAAATTTTTAAAGAGGGAAGATGAGGAGGTATGGCATTCTTCCATTCCCCCTTTTTTGGAATTCTCCCTTTTTTGGTAACTAAGCCTGGTAGTAAGCAGCCCATTGGTCAGTTAGAGTTTATGGACATTTTGAGGTGGGTCACCTGATGGGCTTGTCTGTATTCAGCCTGGTGGTGGTCGCTGTGGGCCCTTTCTACATTCCATCCCTCAAGCCTGCTTGCCTAAAAGTAACCTCTACACATAACAGAATAGCAAGAATAATTATTTAATTTCTAATACCCAGGGGAAATAGAGGTATCTATGGGAAGTGAAATGCACAAGGATGGTTTCTGTAAGAGCAAATTTCCCAATGACTGGCACAGTGCCTGGCACGGAGCAGCCTCGCAGGATAGGATGACACCAGGGTTAATACATGTATTCCAGAGCAGGAGAAAGATCCTGACATTGTCACTCAGTGCCATAGTTAGAAAGAGCTCATCTGCCACTGATAAGGTGCTGGCAGGAAGGTTATTCTTCTCCCCACCCCGTCATACACCACAACGCCCCACCCCCCCACCCCTCCACCCCCCACCCCCCCGCAACCCCAGGAGCCTGAGTGATGGGAAAAGGATGTTGTGAACAGGGGTGAGGAGGAAAGAAAACAAAATGAGCAGTTCTCCTCAGATGTCTTGTAGCCAGCTCTGTCAGATTGATTTTCAACGTTTGCTCCTATTTCAACTTTCATCTTTATAGACTGAATGTGCCTTAGTTTTCCCTTTATTTTAAAATTTATTTCAGATGCACACATGCACACATACACACACACACAATTCACACACAATTCACACATGTGATAGAAACAAAGAGAATGTGGTGATGAGCAAAAGAAAAAGTTCTGCGGTTGTACTGTCCAAAGAGAGCTACTGTTAGCATTTTGGAGGAGTTCCTTTAAGAGCTTTCTAGATATATTTCCATGTAGCAAAGGCAAGAATCACATGCACGTATCCCCAAGTTGGGACATCATACATATTGTTATACATAGGCTATCACATATTGTTATACACTCTGCTTTCCTCATTTAGCAATGCTATGGCTGTGTTTGCATGTCAATAAATACAGGTCTGATCACTGTTTCAGTGAGGACATTTTATTCCATGGACTGGCTGAGCCCACATTTATTTGGTCAAGCTCTTGTTGAACACTCAGTTTGTTTCTTACCTTTTTTTTTTTTAATTTGGAACATGAAATTAGGAATTTTCTCCCTTAGATTTTATCCTTTAAATAAAATTTTCTCCACACTTATGCTAATTTTCTTAGGATAAATTCATAGGGGTAGAATTTCTGGGTTAAAGGTATTATTTCATTATTTTCTAATGTGGTAGATGGAAAATGTTATTTAGTTTTAATTTACTTTTCCTTGATGATTGGCAAGACTAGACATTTTTTGGTATACTTATTGGCCAACTGTATTTCTTCTTTTTTGAGTAGCCCATTCATGTGTGTACTTTACCTACTTTTCTGTTTTGGGGGGCTTATTTTTTTTCTGGCTTTACTCGTCTCTTAATATTTTAAGGATATTTAATTTTCAACTGTTACAAATGTTACCAATAATGTCCTCAACTTTTCATTGACAGAACACCGATTCTGGAGTTAGACCTAAGGGATGAGAAATTTTCCTTGTTTTTGATTTTTACCTTGAAAATTATATGTTTTGACATACAGAGATTTTAAACATTTATTTAGATTTGTAAAGTATCTATTATGTGGTTCCTGCCTTTATTTATGTATAGTTCATGGTTAGAGAGGTCTTGAGGCCTCTTTTGGGGGTTTATCACATTTTGAAACATTTTAATTCTGAACAACTAATGTATGCATAAGATAAACACATTTTTTAAAATGCCTTTCTTACACCTGTCTCCCTGTCTTTCAGTTTCTCTAGATGGGTCTCATGGCTGTTGCTGATTCTACCTTTCTGGAGATGGTCTGCACATATATGTGCGTGTGCATGCTTTGTGGAGGATAATTCATAGGGCATTATGCACACAGTTCTGCATCTTGCTTACTCCTCTTAGTGCTCTATTCTTTTTGTGTTCACATGCCTTTAAGCCTTACTCTCACTTTTTAAAAAACTTTTTATCTTGAAATAATTTAAGACTCACAAGCAATTGCAAAAACAGTACAGGGGGTTCCAGTGCACCATCACCCAGCTTCCCCTAGTGATAATATCTTAATCATAGCACATTTTCAAACCCAAAAACTTGACATTGGTACAGTTGTGAAATAGTATAACTAAACTGTAGACTTTATTCTGATTTCATCAGGTTTTTTTCTGGTGTGTCCAGCTCCCATTGAACACTTTTCACTTGGATGTCTGGGCCTTCTCCACCATGTTACTTTTTTTTCCCCCAATATTTATTTGTTTTTGAGACAGAGAGAAAGAGCACAAGCGATGGAGGGGCAGAGAGAGACGGAGACACAGAATCGGAAGCTGTGTCTGATTCTGTGTCTGATTCAGCACAGAGTCCAATGCGGGGTTCAAACTCATGAACCATGAGATCATGACCTGAGCCGAAGTCAGATGCTCAACTGACTGAACCATCCAGGCACCCCACCACCATGTTACTTTTGAAGCAGGGTGAGGTAATTGGAGGGACATGTGACATATCACATTGGCTCTGTCACTTGCCCAAAGTAACATCAGACATTTCCTAACGTCTTCACAATTAACAACCTCCACTGGATGGCTTTTATAAAAGTCCTTGATACATTTTCGTTTTATGTCTTTGTGTGTGTGTGATAAATCTGGTGTAGTAGGAAAAGTCTAGGATTCATACACTTTTAAGATCGTTTACGTATTTGTTCCATACGTTTTCCCATAAAGGTGGAAATAAGGAAATATAAACAGATGTAAGAGATCAGTGCAAGGAAAAAATGATTTAAAATTGGCCAACTACTCCATGGCTTCCTGGGTGTGTGATCCTGGGAATGCAGGCGAAAGGAGTGGCAGGAATTTCCTCAGTGTCACCTGGGGAGTACTTAGCATGGCAGGCTTTGCAGGCAGACAGATCTGGACTAGAATCCCGGTTCCAAAAAGTTTGCTATACGATCTTGGGCAAATTACTTAACCTCTCTGTGCCTAATTAATAATCTAAAATGGGGATTATAATAGCACCTATTCTGGAGTTGCTCTGAAAATAAATGAGATAAAACATGCTAAAAGTAAAAAGTCAGATCAGGTCTCTACTCCACCAGTTTTTCATTTCACTCAGAGTCCAAGCTAGAGTCCTTCCATGGCCTGTCAGCCCCTCCAAGATCCTTCCTTGCCCCCTCACCCCTCTGGCCTTGTCTCGTACATTCCATCCCAGCTGCCCTCGCCCTCCTTGCTGGCTGCAGACACCCCGACCTTTACTCAAATGTCACCCTCTCCATAGGCCCCCTCCTGAGCAACCACACAACATCACACCCACATGCCAGCCCTCACACTACCTTCTTCCTCACCTTCCCTCCTTTATGTTTCTACAAAGCACAGATCATCACCTACCTGAGGCACAGTGATCTGCTCACTCGTCATTGTCTGCCTCCCCTCAGCGACACCATCAGCCCCTTTAGGGCAGGCATTTTAACTCTTTTGTTCATGGCTTTATTCCCAACACTCACAAAAGTGCCTGGCACATTGTAGGGGCTTAACAAATACTCGTTGAATGAATGAATGACCAAAAAGTGCTTAGTACAGTTCCTGACACCCACCATATACTCTGTAAATGGGAGCCATAGCTGCATTGCTGCTGTTGTGTAAACTGAGAACAACGGTCACAGTCATCAGGCCTTCAGTGAGATTTAAATTAAGCCATACAGAGGTGCTTGGGTGGCTCAGTTAGTTAAGTGTCCGACTTGATTTCTGCTCAGGTCATGATCTCAGTGTTGTGAGATTGAACCCCCCATTGGGCTCAGCACTAGGCTTAAGATTCTCTCTCTCTCCCTCCCTCTCCCTCTACTCATCCCGCCAACTCTCGTGTGTGCATGTTCTCTCTCTCTCTCTCTAAAATAAAATAAAATAAAATAAAATAAAATAAAATAAAATAAAATGTTCATTGTAACAAACTGTATTATGGCTTTCAAGCAGCAATGACTGTAAAGTAGCATCTGAGAGCTGGAATAGCTCTCCCAGGATTGTGTGCTCTGGCTTTACAGACAAGGACTGAGACTGGGAGGGGGGCGGGGGGGGGGGAGATGGAGCGATTAGCTAGTAAATTGCAGAGTTCCATACACTGCCAGAGGGAAATGACTATAGTCTCGGGGGACAGGGCAAAGGATGGAGGAAGAATGAGGGTGGGTGCACTTCACGTCATCATCCAAAATATAGAAATAGTGGTACCAGGCTGCTTCCCTCCCAGGGGCTATCGTGAAGACTCAGGGAAGTGACAGAGGGCAGACAGAACACAAAACACCCTATAAACTAGACTTTCCTTGCTGTAATTATAACAAAGAATGCTCAGGAGTTTTCTAGTAGACAGCTATTGGTCTAATTCTTAATCTCGTGGGATGAGATGAGCTGTCTTTGGAATGGGAAGTACTGTTTTGCCGGCAGAGTCTGAGTCTTGCTAACACTTGGTTGATCAAGTGGCAATGGGAGAGAATATGCCATCCTCTATCACCACCTAAAACCTAAAAGCTATTTTCTAATGTTTATTTATTTTTTGACAGAGAGAGAGAGAGAGAGAGAGAGAGAGCACACACTTAAGTGGGAAAGGGACAGAGAGAGAGAGAGAGAGAGAGAGAGAGAATCCTACAGGCTCCATGCTGTCCGTGCAGAGCCGGATGCAGGACTCGAACTCACGAACCATGAGATCATGACCTGAGCTGAAACCAAGAGTCTGACTCTTAACTGACTGAGCCACCAGGCGCCCCTAAAGGCTGTTTTATGATGGGCTTTACAAAGCAGGCTTCGAAATGGAATCTTCATAATGGACACTGTTCCTATGGAGAATTTCTCATGGAACCTATAAAGCCAGACAAGAATGGTCAAGGCACATTTTCCCACTGTGCCTCAGGCATACCTTACATCTTCTCAGTGGCTGTTTCCAGGAATTGGGACTACAGTGAGAAGTGGTGTTACCTCACCTGACTGCAGTTTGCCATACAAAGGAGTATGGACTCCATAGGATGTCAACCAGCATGTGAACTCCTCAGCACCCCATCTATCACTGTGCCCACACAACCCCTACCTGCCTCAGCTCTACCCCACAGAGCTGCTCAGCAGTCCTAGAGCCACATGGCCAGCTGGGCCCCCCTCGGGCTGATGCCACATCAGGGTTGGGTTCCTAGGATTAGCAGAGCCCCCACTCGCCAGTCTTCAAACCCAATACTTGTTTCCCATCGGGCACTCTCCCATCCTTTTCAAAATGCTCCCAGATTGTTATCCCTTCTCTTAAACCTCACGGCCACCTGTGCCTTCTTTACACCCAGAAGATACCCTCACTTCTTATCTTAAAGAGAACAGAGATGAGAACCGCCCCTCCCATCTGTTCCTTGGGCTTTCCCTCCAGGTCCCTTGCTCTGGATCCCATTCCCCCTACGCATCTTCCCAGGGACTTCCTCCAGCCTCCCTCATGACAAGTGGGCTCGAAGGGGCAGATGGAAAAACATCCAGTATGGGAGAATTGCCGAGTTCCCAGCCAGGGAAAGAACAATCCTCCATGAAGGTCCACCCAGCCCCCTGTCAGTTTTTCATTTTAAGGCCTGTGATGCCCCATGGAAAGACCAGCTTCTGTCTTAGTCAGGATCTTGTCAGCTGTGTTAGAAAAATGAACTCAAATGAGCACAGGCAAAAGGAAGTGTTTTGGTTTCAAGTGTCCAGTCCAGAGGTGAACTAGCTTTCGTATGTAGGATCTCAGACTGTGTCAGACCTTATAGTTTTCACTCTCCAGAAACCAGAAAGATGGAGGCCGACCCTATTCCATGTGTTAATTTATGCAAAATGAACATTTCCATTTACTTTTCAAAGACAGTAAGATAAATTCCCTTCCATGTGCCCAAAGATGCAGCAGAAGGTGTTTTATAGCATCAGGAATGCTGTAGGGTGAACCCCTCTCTACATTGGGCAAGGGCAGCAGTGGGACAGAGATCCTGCAGTTCCAAGAGAACCCCACAGTGTGGCTGTGAAGCCACTGGAAGAAGGCAAGTGGGGTGCGTTTCCAGGGCCAGCGGGGACACTGAATGCCATGAACCATGTCTACCAGGGGTAGGTGTCAGAAGAACGTTTGAGGCTAACAAGCCCGAGACCAAGAAGACTGCTGGTAGGTAATCTTTTTTTCCCCTGGAAGGCAATTAGAAAGCTTATCAGAGGAATGTGAACACAACAGATAAAACGCTGAAACAAAGAGGAGGAGCTAAAGCAAACAGGTCTGGGATTAACCACTGAGAAATCCGGGAAATGAGAAACCAGGTTTTGCTCCAGACAAAGGAGGCCCCAGGCATTCCCTGGGAGCCTCAGAAATCTTGTCAAGTGGATTAAAGGCTACGTAGTCAAGGGTTGTGTGTTTACAGTTTAGATCAACTGCACAAAGACCCTCAGGAACCACTGCCTCCCTGAACTTGATGGGTGTTGTCCCAAAGACAGCACCCCGTGTGAAGTCGGTGCTTGCCTCCTTAGGAGGATAAGGTGATGACAGTAAGGCTCTGGTAATGGACAGTGGTTCCTTCTTTCTGGAGTGCTATTCACAATGTTGAACAACAGGCGTGACTCAACCACTGACCCATTGGTCTGTCTGGGGGACCCTGCCGTGCCAGGTATTACCTCTTCCACTTCTGTCTGGTGAGGTGTGGAGGGGCCTAGATACCCTGAATGGTGAGTGGAGTCACACAGGGGTCCCCACCAGTAGCTCTGAACTGACGCATGCCAGCATCGTCAGTCCTGATCCTTTCTTGTCAAAGCAAATGTGGCACCAGTGCAAGAGAGAAGACAGTCACCAGCAGGCTTCACAGTCTCATTGTGAGCACTGCTGTCCAGAAGCCCCACAGGATAGAGGGCTAAGAGGTAGGAGTGGAGCAGAGCCAACCATGAGGACTTTCACAATTGCCTGCATGCATCACCTCCCCGAGTTTGCGCTAACTGCTGCACTGCAAAACAGGCATTCACACTCCCATTTTACTGGTGGGATAACTGAGGTTTAGATGGATGAAGAAATCTCTCCCAGGTTTTCAGGTGGTGAGAAAGAGGCAGAATTTGAACCCAGGCCTGTTGACTCAAAGCCTGATGCTGCATCCCTCACACACCTACCTGATGGGCCTGCAACAGTTGGATTCAAGTGAAAAGAATTAAAGAACCGTCGAGCTGGAGCACCAGGATGGCAGCTGCTACCTGGATGGGGCCTTCAGGCCAGGGCATCCACTGGCCTCCTCCTTCCCCTCCTCCTCCCTTGACAATGAATGTGAGCCACCCATGACCTTTGGCATTGGGGAATTCCAATAGATGCCAGCGAGCCTAATAACTTAGGAAACAGCCTACTTGTTTTCATTTTTATTTTTCAAACAATCCTCCTTTAAAGTTTATTTTTTTTTGAGAGACAGGGAGAGAGAGAAAAAGAGAGAGAGAGAGAGAGAGAGAGAGAGAGAGAATCCCAGGCAGGCTCCTCCCTGTCAGCACAGAGCCCATCATGGAGCTCGAATTCACGAATTGGGAGATCATGACCTGAGCCAAAATCAAGAGTCGGACGCTTAACTGGCTGAGCCACCCAGGCGCTCCAAAACCACCCTCTTTTAACAGGTGTTCACTAGCAATATAAATGCCTGCCGGATATAATTACTAATCTTTGCCATGGTGGTCCAGGTAAAAAGGAACATATACTGCTAATTCAATGGGAGAAATTGGGCAAGTTGCCCACCTTCCCTAGGTCTTGTTACCAGGCAGAGAACCGGTTCTGAGCTCTGGCTCTGCTGTTTGCCACTTGAAAATCGACACTCAAGAGATAAATGACAGTGGGAAAGGAAAGCTTGCTTTCCTCACAAAGCTGGCAACCTGGGAGGATAGTGGACTAACATCTCAAAGACCATCCTCCCCACCGGTGAAGCAGAAGGGCTTTAAAGGGGAAGGCCCAGGAAATGGGGGGTGAGGTGTAGGGGCCTACGTGCAGGAGAAGCAGTGCCCAGGCAGTTAGTCATATTTTGACATGACCCTGAACTGACTGCCTGGCATCAGTGGCATCAGCTGTTTTCAGAGGTGTTTATGCATTACCTTCTGGGAAAGTCTCAAGGCCAGTGGCCTGCAAATCTCAAGGAAAGTATGTTAGTTCTGCTACAGACCAAGAGACTTAGGTCAGCAAGCAAGGAGCACATAAGCTTGAAGCAATTTAACCCTTAACTCCGGGTTGGAGTGCTGTTACAGTCTCAGATTCCTCTTTGGCAAATGAAGGAGTCAGCCCTCTATTGGGGTGGCAAGCTCAAATGCTTACACAGCCAGTCAGGTAACATAACAAATGAAGAAGAGACAACTTCCCCCAAGCAAATTCGCTTTCTCTCATTTTCCTTGAAATGCATGTCACCTCTAGTCTATTTCACTTTATCTCAATTTTG